AAACCGACATCACACCACTAATGGACATTTCCATTAGCTTCCTGTCACTATCTTCAACAAGAAGGGCAGAGTTTCTATGCTAGTAGTCTGATTTTTTTTGTCCATCTGGCTTTTTCTGGGACACTGACCCACTCCTATTCTCACCCGGTATCATCTTCCTGGACTAGTGAGCATCTGCACGTTAGGACACATGACTAATTGTGTCTTCAGCTTAAACCATCCAAGATCATTCTCTTAGGGAACAAGAGGATCACTCTTGCGGATTAGTCTATATAATTATGTGGCATCATCAGTCGTTTTACACTTGTGGAGTTTTCAGCAGGAGATTGGAGCACCTATGCATCTGTCAACTGTGCTGTGATAATATATGATTATTGAGGAGAAGCTGTCCGAGCAGTTACAATGTCAGACTCTCATGCTGAAGTCCCGGGTTCGACCCCGGGTAAAGTGGTGGAGTTTTTCAGTCGGGATGATATTAAACATCCTAATCCTAAGCCGTACAATCTGTGGCGACAGCACTAGCCATGTGGCCCTGAATCCTCAGGATCTAGCAGCCCCCCCCCCACCTCCCCTTACACCGTCCTAAAATGTGGTGTATACAAAATGTTGTGACAGTTGACATATATGATTAGAGCATTTTAATACAACTTTTTTCCCCTCAGGTGGTATCATTACCTTAGATGATATGAAGAACTATACTTTGAAGTGGACTACCCCCTCAGTGATGAACTTGCGTGATAACATAACTGTACACTCGATGCCTCCTCCTGGAAGTGGACCTGTCCTTGGGTATATTCTGAACATTTTGAATGGTATGTTGCAAATATGTGTTACATCATATTCACTCAAATAGCATCCGTATGCCTGCCAAGAAGCATGTGCCCAGCTGCCTGCATCATATTCTTGTATCTATCGCGTTACCTCGGCCCGCTCATGTCTCTCTACCCAGGATGGTCCTAATGCATGGGCCTGCTGGGCACTTCCCCTTGGTCCCCCACCATCATAGGGCCCGGTGGTAATTTGTGTGTGTAAAGTACCTTGCCAATAATTTAAAAAACATATATTTGACGTTTAAATTAATTCTGTATAATATAAACCGAAATATATCTACTTCCACACCCCCCCCCAAACACACACACACACGCGCGTGCACACATGCATATGTACTCACTCAAACACATCACCATCAACAACACCTCACAGTATTATCGACCAGTAGCATATCATTCCCTTTAGTGGTTGTACTAGTAGTGCAGAGTTTCTGTGCTAGTAGTCTGATTGTTTTGTCCATCTGGCTTTTGCTAGGACACTGACCCACTCCTGTTCTCACCAGGTATCATCTTTCTGGACTAGTGAGCATCTGCACGTTAGGACATGTATGTATCAAGCCTGGTATTTACAGAGGCCCATAATGCTGTTAGGACAGCCCTGTACCTACCCACTTATTTCTAGGAACTGCCTGTCTGTCTGTCGATCTGTTTATGTGTCTGCCCACTGGTCTTTCTATTTGTCTGCTGCTCAGTCAGTTTGCTTATTTATCTATCTTTAATTCTTGAATTCTGTTCTTTTATCTGGCTGTCTGCTGGTCTGATTGTCTTCTGTATATCAGGCATGTTTGTCTCCTCCTATCTGGCTGCCTCATGGTCTGTTTGTTCTTGAATTTGATTGCCTGCAGATCTGTCTCATCTCATATTTCATTCCCTGTCTATTTGTCTGTCTGGTTGCCTGCATTTCTGTCAGTCCACACACATATATGCCTGCAGGTTTGTTTGTCCACATATTTGATTGACGGCAGGTCTATCTGTCTGTCCTCATATCTGATTACATGCAAGCTTGACTGACTTTATATCTACCTGTAGGTCTATCTGTCTGTCCTTATATCTGATTACATGCAAGCTTGTCTAGCCTTTTATCTGCATGCAGGTTTGTCTGTCCTCATACTTGATTTCTAGCAAGCCTTCGTAGCCTTATATCTGCTTGCAGGTCTGTCTGTCTGTCCTCATATCTGAATATATACAAGCTTGTATGACCTCATATCTGTCTGCCAGCAGGTCTATCTGTCTATCGTCATATCTGAATATATGCAATCTAGTCTGATCTCATATCTGTCTGACTGCAGGTCTGTCTGTCTATCCTCATAAATCACCACCTGCATATCTGTTTCTCTAACAGGCTGCTTGTAGGTCTGCTTGTAGTTATATCTGACTTCCTGCTGACTTAAATATCTGTCTGTTCTTTTAACAGGTTTTTGGGCGTATAGGGCTAGACATAAATTTTATAGACCAACTGGCAATTGGTGTGTGATCTGGTGGACATGCCACACACCTTTACTTCCCAGGACGTTACCTGGTACCCATTTAAGGCTGGGTTTACCTGGCAGTCAAGGTCATTTTTGAAACCATTTAGCTCCGTCAGGATTTGAACCCATGAGCTTCAGATCCACAGCGAGCAGCTAGCTGCTACACCACAGCGACTCCCAGGTAAGTTTCAATGCACATTTTAAATGTAAAAGTGAAGTAAGAAACAAAGATACAGAACAGTTTAGCTTGATGTCTACTATTATAACAATAAATTGTATCATTTTCTGTCTGTCATAGGATATAATTTAACTCCAGCAAGTGTTGCCACAGACGCTGACTCCATCTTGACACATCACAGGATTGTTGAAGCCATGAAGTTTGGCTATGGAAAGAGAACAAACTTGGGAGACGAAGATTTTGTTAATGTGACTGAAGTAAGTGTTCCTCTTCACATTTACAAAAAGTAATGGTCACATTTGCTATATTGTATGTGTACATTTTACATTTATCCTGTTTTAATCTGTCTCTGAACATTTGGTTATACAGGATGCACATTTAACATTACTCATTTGGAAAGTAGGATAACACATTTATTGTACACAGCTAGCAAAAAATACAACTGAGCACGGTCATGTAAATCAGTGTCTTAGATTTACAAAACAGACCCTGTGTCTTGAATAAAATTTACTGGAGATGTCTTACCTGACAGTCAGGTAGGGGGACCATCATATCTGGAACTGAAAAAGGGAAGTGCTACTAATATTTTGAGCTGAAAACAATGTTCATCCTAAGTCAAATAAATTTCCCCCCTCCCCCCCCCCCCCCCCCAATCCCAATTATCTAAGTCTCTGGGGTAAAAAAGTTAATTACTCTAGTAATCTGGTAATCTTAGTTTCAGCTTCATAGCAAACGGGTCACCCCATAGTTGCTCCTGTGCCAACAAAAAACACACAGAATGTGTATCACAGTCCCTTGTGGAAAGACTGACAGACTGCTAACTCAGCATTTCTAGCATACACACGCATTAAAAGCATACCGTAGCCATCCGAAGTGCTAACACAAACAGTCTGACATTAGAAATGCAGTTCGTCATGGATGGTAGCAGAAGTCCCCAACAGATCAGCAGTTGCACACGCGATCCATTTTAATCACATAATGGCACCACCAATATTGTGACAACAGTCATCGCGCCATTTTCTGAACCTACAATTCACACCACCACGTTGGTCAGAGTCGAAAAACATTCCAAATGAAATGTACTCAACTCAGAAGCTAAGCAACAAAACTATATCCTTTTAATTTAATTACTCGTTCGACAATGGTGTTAAAATTCCTATCCATTGTCACCAAGAAAAATACAAAACAATATGCTCCGTAACTGCACTGAAAGAAAATGCTACAATGAATATTCAAATCCCACATCTCAGGCTTTAAATGTTTCTAAAAACTATGAAATCTACTCAGGTCTACAGGGATAACTATAAGTATGTTCTGTTATCGAGCGAATTCCTAGATTTTTTACAAAACAGGGCTTTTTTTACAGACGGCATGGGCAGAAACACGCCTGAAAACAGAAAAGATTGTTACCTCACAGTCAAGGCACTGGTGCCATCTTCCAGGTACACTTGCGAAGATGCAACGTAGCGTCCTATCTAGTGCCGTTTGTCAGGAGAGCGTGAATGTTACACTGGGCACTCTTTATCACGTCATAGCAAGTGCAAGTGAGAGATGGCAGCAATGCTTTCACTGACATGGAGGACATCTGCAAAACTTTGTATTCAAGATTTGAGACAAATTTGGTGAATCCAAGGCAATGACCTTCTTAACCGTGTTAGTCGTTTTTATTTCTGCTCACAATAAATGTGTTAGCCTACTTTCAAAGTGGGTACTTTTTAAAAGTTGAATTAAGAATCGACATCACAACACTTGGGACACCCCCATAAACGCTCCATCCCTATCTTCAGTAGCAAGCAAAGAGTTAAAATTCCTAAGGTAAAATAATTGTTAAATGCTGCGTCTGTATAAATTCGCAGTTTTATTGTTTTTGCTTTTCCACTCCCGTTAAGCTTACTAGTCATGGTCTGTCCTTGGTAAAATTATTTTTGCAATACAGATAGAATAACAAATAATATTTTTATTCATGTAGGATGTTCGGAACATGCAGTCACTGGCTTACGGTGAGACTACAAGACGAAAAATCAATGACGCCTCCACGTTTGATACAAACTACTATGACCCGACTATACCGGAGGTTAATGATCATGGTACTGCTCATATCTCAATCATTGATGCTGATGGCAATGCTGTCTCAGTGACAAGCACTATTAACACTTAGTAAGTAATTTATTAAGTAATTAATGTTTAAAAAGTTGTAAATACAAATGTTACAAGATATGTTTTAGGTGAGAAAAGTTATCACACCATGTTGTTTTATGGCAGAGAAGAAGAAGAAATAGGGAGAGGGTGGGAGAAGAGAAAGAGAGGGAAGATGAAGGAGGAGGAAGATGAAGAAGAAGAAGAATGGTTGTGGTAAGCTGTGAGGGAAGAGAGGTTAAAGGAGAAGAAGAAGAAGAGCTGAGAGTCAAAAGGAAGAGAAAGAAGAGTGAGGGATGGCAGTCCTGCTAAGCACAATCTGTTTGGGTTTTTTACGTTTTTTTTTTTTTTTTAATTCAGATGTCCATATTGATAAAAGAACAGGGGGAATAAATACTTGTTTGGGTCATATCTTGAGGAAAGTAGAATGAAGTTGAAGTTTGTTTGAAGTTTGAACAACAGATCAACATCATGGCACACGGGTAGTAACCCATAAGTGCTCTGTTCTTCTTCTAACTAAAGTCTGAGTCCGAAGAAGCTCAGCACAGTGCACAGGCATTGTAGCACCGGCGAGGATCCTGAAATACTTTAGGAAGCTTTTTAACTCCAAATTTTGCACTGGGCAGCGCCGTTTGGCTACTCTTTTCGATTTCCAACTGCCAAGGGATTCTTTTACGTGCACACGGGCGTCCGATCTCACAACCCAGAGAGCTGGGGGAATTACTAGAAGTCCAAATCCATGTGAAAAAATCCCAGCCCTTACTGGGGAATGAACCCGTAACCTCTAGCACTCGAGGCGGACATCATGCCATAAGACCACGCAACTCCCTAGGAAAAATAGAATGAACTAGTAGGATAGTAGGATAGGAAAAGTAATTGAACTATCCTACTGGTCAAGAGCGTTATTGTCAACATAGGCTTTGTTCTGTCTTCTTGTTACAGCCGGTAGTAAAGGACCGTTGTCCACATCTTCAAGCCTTAGGAATATAATGCTGGATTTATAGTTTATAGACCAGTTGGTACACTCTGGGTAATATGGTCATCATCATGCTGGACATCTTTACTCTCCAGGACTACATCTGGTACTCATTTAAGGCTGGGTTAACCTGAGAGCCAAGGTCATTTTGTTTCCGTTGTGATTTGAACCCATTCTGTTCTTCATATATAGCAAAAATATGACATCATCTTCATAAAATGTTACCTCCATGTTGAAGTCAAGTATAAAATGAGTCTCCAATACTTTCTGTCCTGTGTTTTTACAGCACACTTATGAAACTGTGTGATCCATCTCTTAATGTTTTTTGTTCACATGAAGAATTCTTTTCCAGCATTTTATTTATTATGAGTGTGCGACGGGAACAGTTAGCATCTACACTTCCTTCACCAGAGCTACCCAGTTTGTGCTCTGTGGTGCAGGCAACTAGCGATTCTGCGGAGAGAGACCGAGCCATATGAGATAAAACCCGATGCAATGAAGTCGATCCTCTCGATTTCAACCTTTGACCGAAGGACATTTGCTGTAGGAGACGAAGCACATATGGGTATGCCCGGTACACTATAGTGTCGACTCATAAATCAGTAAACCAGACTCTTTATACAAGGATGTACTGAAAATATTTGAGAGTTGTGTCACTTTGCTGTGGTCAGTCTACATTTACTTTTTCAGTTGCTTGTTTACAGTACATGGTATTTGGTATCACAATGTTACTGCCTAACTAGAGAAGATGTGATCTCTCTGTTTCACTGAAAGAATTCATTATTGTGCCTCACTGTATGTTGATGTCACTCTGTAACAATCTGCCTGATGAGGTACAAGGACATATGTCAGACAATACATTCTGCTGTTCATGGACATATGTCAGACAATACATTGTGCTGTACATGGACATATGTCAGACAATGCATTGTGTTGTACAAGGACATATGTCAGACAATACATTGTGTGGTACAAGGACATATGTCAGACAATACATTGTGTGGTACATGGACATATGTCAGAAAATACATAGTGCTGTATATGGACATATGTCAGACAATACATTGTGCTGTACATGGACATATGTCAGACAATACATTGTGCTGTACATGGACATATGTCAGACAATACATTGTGCGTTACACTGACATATGTCAGACAATACATTGTGCTGTACATGGACATATGTCAGACAATACATTGTGCTGTATATGGACATATGATAGACAATACATTGTGCTGTACATGGACATATGTCAGACAATACATTGTGCTGTATATGGACATATGTCAGACAATACATTGTGCTGTACATGGACATATGTCAGACAATACATTGTGCTGTATATGGACATATGTCAGACAATACATTGTGCTGTACATGGACATATGTCAGACAATACATTGTGCTGTATATGGACATATGTCAGACAATACATTGTGTTTTACAAGGACATATGTCAGACAATACATTGTGCTGTATATGGACATGTGTCAGACAATACATTGTGCTGTACATGGACATCTGTCAGACAATACATTGTGTTTTACAAGGACATATGTCAGACAATACATTGTGCGTTACACTGACATATGTCAGACAATACATTGTGCTGTACATGGACATATGTAAAGACAATACATTGTGCTGTATATGGACATATGATAGACAATACATTGTGCTGTATATGGACATATGTCAGACAATACGTTGTGCTGTATATGGACATATGTCAGACAATACATTGTGCTGTACATGGACATATGTCAGACAATACATTGTGCTGTACATGGACATATGTCAGACAATACATTGTGCTGTACATGGACATATGTCAGACAATACATTGTGCTGTACATGGACATATGTCAGACAATACATTGTGCTGTACATGGACATATGTCAGACAATACATTGTGCTGTATATGGACATATGAAAGACAATACATTGTGCTGTACATGGACACATGTCAGACAATACATTGTGCTGTACATGGACATATGTCAGACAATACATTGTGCTGTATATGGACATATGATAGACAATACATTGTGCTGTACATGGACATATGTCGGACAATACATTGTGTTTTACATGGACATATTTCAGACAATACATTGTGCTGTACATGGACATATGTCAGACAATACATTGTGTGGTACAAGGACATATGTCAGACAATACATTGTGTGGTACAAGGACATATGTCAGACAATACATTGTGCAATGCATTGTGGTATCCGTATTACTTAAATGCCCCTAAAAAATCTATTGACTATTTACATCAAATTCTCTAACTACTTTACAGATTGTATATATTTCTTCGAAGACTATCTTGCTGTTTTTTGACCTTCTATATAATAATATTCCTTTTTTTTCTTCTTCTTCTTTTTGTTCTCCCTGTCAGTGTTTTCCAGAAACTAAGATCGTAGGAAGGCCTTTGTGCAACGCATGTCCTCCACTGAACCCTAACGTTTGGTTTCTACTTGTAATGCTACCTGGCCAGATCTGAGATCTCCTTGCTGCATGTAGAGGGTGTACCTGCATATCACATTCTTAACTCTTTGAGTCCCAGGGGGTTTAGCATCAGAGGCCCATGTGGTAGTCAAGAATGAAGTGAAATTGGCGCATCTTGCGTTCATTATGCCTCCAGATTGGAATCTATGAATGTATGATACGTTCCTTGGGACTCAAAGAGTTAAGAACTGTCTTATTTGTGTGTGTGTTTTTTTTCTTTTTTCTTTTTTCTTATTCTTCTGTAATAATAACACTCAAAAGCTGCTGTTCAACTATTCTTTACTGCAGTTGATTACCCTTTGCAATGCTTTTACACAATATACAGACATAATATACAGAAGGTTACTGGCATCTTTCTGTCTTTCAAGACGATGATGTTATATTGTGCCTTTGGGTGCATGGAATCCCAGCCTATGGCTATGGCGTATGTGGCTAACAAGACCTGCTCATGTTAAGAAAATCTCACTAGCTCACACATAATGAGTATCTAACTTCAACCAAATACATCTGTGTGTGCATTTCAGTTTTGGCTCTCAAGTGAAAGGAAACCGTACAGGAATCATATTCAACAATGAGATGGATGACTTTTCCACTCCGAATTCCACCAATTACTTCCAGTTGCCAGCCTCCCCAGCAAACTTTATCAAACCTGGGAAAAGGCCTATGTCATCTATGTGCCCTGCAATTGTGGTTGACAACAAGACAGGAAAAATCACTCTAGTCACAGGTGCAGCAGGTGGTAGCAAAATCACAACCGCGACAGCTTTGGTAACTATTTCTTTCATTCATTTATTTATTCATTTATTCATGTATATATCCATCCTTCATCCACCCAACCACTCATTCATTCACTCATTTGTTAATTCGTCCAATTATTCATTTATCTGTTCATGTATTCATTAATTCATTCTTTTTTTCTCTTTACTCTGACTCCTAATGGTCAGCCTTATAAATGCGTTCTTGGCATTTCACTTCATTTTAGCAAAATATCTTTGATGTCTCACGATTACCTTATCCTTGAATGTTGAATGTTGAATTTAGAATTGACATCATAGCACTCGAGACACTCCCATAAGTGCTCCATCTTCAATCTTCAGCAGCAAGCGAAGAGTTCCGATTCCGATGGCACCAGTAACTGTCTGATTGTATATCCATCTCACCTTTCCCTTGACTGTTGAGCGTTGGCCAGATCTCCTGGTAACTTCTTGCTGTACCATTCTCTTCAGACTGTAATGATCTATTTGTGCCACCACATTGTTCACTCGCTGTCAGTGGCACTCAAAATATCTAGCTTGTCATGCATTAATTCACCACCAAGTGGTGCAGAACCAGCCAGTCTATCTGCCTCCTCATTTCCCAACACACCGGCATGACCTGGAGAAAATATCCAAATGATGCTAACTACCCGGGACCTATGAAGCGATGCTTGCCACTCTGCACCGAGCATGCCTGTCTCTACCTTTCTCAACATGCTCTGTGAATCAGTTACAATTAAAATGTGTGTACAGCTGAAGGACAGTACTTCATCCTCAAAAAATCATTTATGTCTTGTGGCTAAATTTGATTGCATAATTTACCTATTGCCTTGTGGTTTTCCTCAGAATATCATTGATGTGTTATGGTTGGGCCTGCCACTCCCTGCCTCGGTTGATCGTCCCAGGTTACATCATCAACTTGTTCCTGTATATATCCAGTTGGAGGATAGTTTTCCAGCAGTAAGGATTGTTTGAGATTAGCATTATTGAGTTTATCATACTGCTGGGTTAGACTCAACATCTTCTCCTCCTTCATTTTCTGCTTTACTTTGTTCTTCTCAGTTTCCAGTACACTGTATGAATACTCTTATTTATTTTTTTAAGCTTTTAAGTTCATGTCTTGTTTTTGTTTTGTGTATTGTTTATCTGTGAAAACTTTACATTAGATTTTGTACACTATTTCTTGATTAGCAATCGAGTTTAAATTGTGTGCACACATACACTCACACTAATGCACACATACTTTGTTGATAACAGTGCAGTGTAGTACAAAAATACTTTGAAAAAATGTAATTGATACTTTTGAGTGTCAAAGAATTTATAATGGCTATATAGCCCAATAAAATTTCATTAATCCATGAGCTCATCGTTAAAACTGTGCTTTTGATTTCTACACTTTCCTGAAAAGCTCTCAAGCTAACATTTTGTACACACACGCTTTATGGATGAAAAAGTAATGTGGTGCAAAAATATTACCTTGTTTTTTTTAATTTTAGGTTGTTAATTTTTGGTTTTAAAAAAAAAATTATTTTTTTTACATGAGGAAATATATGCTCAAGGGATTGAATTCAGGAGTTTACCATCAAAATATTTTTTACGTGCAATCTGCCCCATTATTTGGATGCAAGATTTTGTTAATTTAAAGCCTCTCCCTGGCTATCTTCGAGTGTGCTAAATATAAGCTACAGTTTGAAGGGGTTTCTGTGACATGCGCCTGGGCGATTTTTATCTGAATGGTGGCACTTTGTGTCAACAGCTTTTAATTGCTCACTGTGCAGTCCTAGTGCAGTTAAACATACACACTCAGTCACAATATATATACACACACCACACACACACACACACATTGATCTAAAATATGTCCCAATAGGATATATACATATTTATATATATATATATACATACATATATACATACACACACACACACACACATATATATATATATATATATATATATATATATATATATATATATATATATATATATACATACAGACATATATATATCATCACACATCATGTAGCAGGTCTTTGCAAAAAAAGTCGCTCATAGGTTCCTACCTAGAAGCCCAATGAATGCAAGATGCGCCGATTTTATTACTTTCTTTACTATCAACTGGGCCTGTGATGCTAAACCCCCTGGGACTCAAAGAGTTAATGTGTGTAAAAAAATACCGATTTGTTGGATGTAATACTCAAAGATGGAGAAACTGGCAGATATATTAAAATGTAAATACAGAACTCTAGGGGAATTTTTATAGCACTAGAAAATGCTTGCAGTTTAAAAGAAATTAAATACTAAACTTAAAGTGTCTAATTCTATTGTAAAGTCTGCTGTATGAAGCAGAAACTGAGGTCTGCTGTATCGAAACTTGAAAAAATTCATCTGCTGCCTCATGCAGAAACATTTAAAACATCTGCTGGAGTGAAGCAGAAACTTACTATCTGCTGTGTGCCCATTTTCGTAAAAGTAAAACATTGCTGTATGAAGCCCCTGACAAACCCTGCTGTATGAAGCAGAAACATGAAAAAAAACTCTAAAACTGCTATATGAAGCAAAAACATGAGGACAAACTAAAACATCTGCTGTATGAAGGAGAAACATTGAGGACAAACTAAAACATCTGCGTATGAAGCAGAAGCATGAGATGAAAAAAAAACCTAAAACATCTTCTGTATGAAAGAGAAACATTCAGGCTTGCTGTGTGAAGCAGACATTGAGGATGCTTCTTATGAAAGAGAAACATTGAGGACAAACTTCATGCTGCTGTATCAGAATCTTTGAAGAAAATGTCAGTATTTCTCATCTTTTTCATCCAAGACAAACTAAAACATCTGCTGTGTGAAGCAGAAGCATTTGAGGACAAACTAAAACATCTGCTGTGTGAAGCAGAAACATTCAAATTAAAAACATCTGCTGTGTGAAGCAGAATATTGAGAGAAAAAAATGACTAAAACATCCTGTATGAAGCAGTTGAGGACAAACTAAAACATCTGCTGTGTGAAATTCTACATTTTGACAAACTAAAACATCTGCTGTGTGAAGCAGAAACATTGAGGACAAACTTTTAGGCTGTGTTAAACATTGAGATAAAAAACATATTTCTTAAAAGCAGAAACATTGAGGACAAACTAAAACACTGCTGTGTGAAGCAGAAACTGAGGACAAACTTCTGGTGTGAAGCAGAAACCGGGACAAACTAAAACATGCTGTGTGAAGACATGAGGACAAACTATGAGTGAAGCAGAAACATTAGAGAAAAAAACACTAAAACATCTTCTGTATGAAGCAGACACAGGACTAACTAAAAGATCTTGTGTGAAGCAGGTGAGGACAAACTAAAACATCCTGTGTATTGAGGATTTTATCTCCTGTGTGTAAGCAGAAACATTCAAACTAAAAACATCTGCTGTGTGAAGGAAACATTGGGACAAAATTACACATCTGCTGTGTCAATCAATCATGAACGAGGTTTGAAATCTGCTGTGAACAAAGATTGAGGACTCTAAAACTTTGCTGTCCCAAGGAAACATTGAGGACAAACTCAACATCTGCTGTATAGGTTGAGGACTACCTAAAACATCCTGTTAATGCAGAATGATTGAGGCCAATTTTAAAACTTTCTGTTACAATCCCATTGAGGACAAACTAAAACATCCTGTGGTGCTAAAAACCCTGGGACAAACTCAAAGATCTTCTGTTAATATGTGTAAACAAATACCGATTTGTTGGATGTAATACTGAGGACAAACTAAAAAAGTATGAAGAGAAACATTGAGGACAAACATTGAGGACAAACTAAAACATCTTCTGTGTGAAAGAGAAACATTGAGGACAAACTAAAACATCTGCTGTGTGAAGCAGAAACATTGAGAGAAAAAAACACTAAAACATCTGCTGTGTGAAGCAGAAACATTGAGGACAAACTAAAACATCTGCTGTGTGAAGCAGAAACATTGAGGACAAACTAAAACATCTGCTGTATGAAGCAGAAACATTGAGGACAAACTAAAACATCTGCTGTATGAAGGAGAAACATTGAGGACAAACTAAAACATCTGCTGTATAAGGCAGAAACATTGAGTAAAACTAGAACATTTGCTGTATGAAGCAGAAACATTGAGAAAAACTAAAACACATCTGTATGTATGAAAACTTGAGGCAAACTAAAACATCTGCTGTATGAAAAAAACTGAGGACAAACTAAAACATCTGCTGTATGAAGCAGAAACATTGAGGACAAACTAAAACATCTGCTGTATGAAGCAGAAACATTGAGGACAAACTAAAACATCTGCTGTATGAAGCAGAAACATTGAAAACAAACTAAAACATCTGCTGTATGAAGCAGAAACATTGAGGAAAACTAAAACATCTGCTGTATGAAGGAAAAACATTGAGTAAAAGTAAAACATCTGCTGTATGAAGCAAAAACATTGTGGAAAAACTAAAACATCTGCTGTATGAAGCAGAAACATTGAAAAAAACTAAAACATCTGCTATATGAAGCAAAAACATTGAGGACAAACTAAAACATCTGCTGTATGAAGCAGAAACATTGAGAGAAAAAAACACTAAAACATCTGCTGTATGAAAGAGAAACATTGAGGACAAACTAAAACATCCGCTGTGTGAAGCAGAAACATTGAGAGAAAAAAAAAACTAAAACAAATACTAATAAACTGCAAACACTTATTACGTGTCTGTGCAGAAAAGAAGAAATTGTAAAGAATGATAGAATTACTAATATTGAGTTTTGGGATTGAATAAATGAATTTCAGTAAATTATAATGTGAAGAAAAGATGCTGGCATTGGATAGAACACACACTGAGAAATCCTGAGAACAGTGTAACCATAGTTTTTGCATTGGAACCCACAGAGGCATTGAAATAAAGGCAACCCCCCCCCCTTCCCCTCAAAAATATGTTTTATCTACACCATTTATCCATCTCTGTCTTCCCCTCACCTTCCTCCCAGATGTTCTGCTGTAAAAAGTCTCATTTGCAGTTTGGTCTGGCTGCATTCTCACTAGATGGCTGAACTATTTCATTCTTTATCAGTCAAAATAATTCAGACATGGTCTTATTCCAATGATCTCTCAAATGCTGGGATTTGTAACCATTGCCCTTCTTGTGTTGTTAATTAACTGCTACATTAAAATGTCTTTACGCATGTTAAGATAACATAACATTGACAATATTAAATCTTTTCATAAATTTTCAGGTCATTCGTAAAGGATTAGAAGCCAAAGGTCATAAAACAGGAAGTATGCAAGGTATTTCAGTTGTCCAATCAGCATTGGTCCTTCCAAGCTCGATCCTCGGAGTTGCTGACTTCAGAAAAGGAGGGGTACCAAGTGGATACTAGAGAAGAGAAACCAGATCTTGACAAATAATTTAAGACAGTTTGTTAAATCGAATCATATACTTGTTGTTGAAACACGTTAAGATATTTATTATGACATTCTGAAGTAGATATTTTGATATTCACTTGTTCATACGCTGTGCACATAGATTAAAAAATTAGGTTTTTAGTTGTCGCAATTTTTAATTTAATTTCTAATTAATAGGTTGAACTTTTACGGTATGTTTTGTTATCATAATCAAACTCACAGATGCTGGGCATTCTCCTGTGTGCTCAGTCCTCTAAATCAGCAGTTACAATGATGTTATTCTTAAGAAATAGTGTAGTTGTTTTCCTGCTAACATTTTAACACAGTGATTTTTCAACCTTTCTCAGTCCCTCCCCCCCCCCCCCCCTTTTTTGAATATATGGCAGAAACCCCCCCCCCCCCCCCCAAATAACTTTATTAACAAGAACTTGGAGAGAAACATCCATATAAATCAAAGTGCTAAATAACATAACAAATGCACTCTATTTCAGACGTGCTCAATCTCGCCGACATCCCCCCCCTCCCTTTCCACCCCCAATCCCTCCATCCTTTTGAATCTTCCTTGTGCCTTCCAGGTTGAAAACCATTGTCTTAACATTTTTAAAAAATTTTAATATTATTACTCTAGAGCTGGAGAAGCACAGTGGCTAGAGACTCATTTACTGGCCCAAAGGTTCTGGGTTTCAGTCTGTATTGAGGCGGATTTTAAAACAAATGTACATGTGCTGCTAGACTGACCCGGTCTGAAATGGATGCAGCTTAAAAGAAAAAAAACATGCTGTCAGAGTTAAAGTTGACCAGCCTGATGTAACCACATCAGTAATCAAGTACCGCCTTCTCTTTAATAACATGAGTTAGGCACCATATGCCCAGGCAGGATAGAGGTCTTATTGTATTATTACTTTCCAGATCCCGAAGATCTCCAAGTAATTTCTGCATATTTTATTATCTCAGCACAGGAAATAAATATTAATGTTTTCATTTTCATGTTAATCATAGAGTACTCAAATTTCTTCTCCTTTTTCTTTGTGTTCAGGACTGTAATCTATGGCAGAAAGTTCAGGTTTTTCAACCACTTCTGGACTTTGGTCTCGTTCCAGAACTTGAGTTTAACATGCACATCCATTTTACAGATCTTGCTAATTTGTATGTAGACTGTTGGTTCCTCACCTCCCAGGCAGATGCACTACGATTTTTAAGGTAACATAGACCACTTATATAACTACCCTAATGCCTCACTGGATGACTATAAGGAACCTTTGACCATCGAAGAGCTTATCAACGAATGTTACATCTCCCGCTGACACTTCGCTGAGGTACAAGGTGGAAGAGAAGAAGAAGAAAAAGACCATCGGAGAGCTCATCAATGAATGTTACATCTCCCCTCGACACTTCACTGAGGTACAAGGTGGAAGAGAAGAAGAAGAAGAAGAAGAAGACCATCGGAGAGCTCATCAACAAATGTTACATCTCCCCTCGACACTTCACTGAGGTACAATGTGGAAGAGAAGAAGAAGAAGAAGACCATTGGAGACCTGTCAGCAAAGACATAAATTAAAAACCAGGCTAGAGAAACACATGTTTCTGATGCTTGCTTTCTAACTGATTCTATGAACATGCTTTACATAGACAGTGACAGAATGGGTTCAAAGACAGTGGTTGAGGTCTCTAATAAAATCTTCTGTGGCAGGTATAAGTTCCATATTTGTGCTGGGACACTGTGTGGTAAGACAGAATGAATGAGCGGACTGGATTGCTGGCAGGGAAATGGCAGGCACAGAAAAAGCAATGGACAGGGCTGATGTTCTCACTGTTGCCAACGAAGCAGGACAAGTAGATGATTCAGAAGATGATGGTGAATCAGCAACCTTGACAAGTCTACAAGAAATTCATGTAAAAAGAGGTGTTGCCAGACGTGAAGACTTTACAGTAAACCAACACATAACTGCTGTTATCAGTCGCCACACACTGAGAGAGATGCTAAAGATGGGATCTGAGTACTTATGGTCTTGTGTGATGAGGATGATCAGTAGATTAACTTACCAACTTATAAATGCAAGAATTGGTGTCCCTAAAGTTATCTTTATTCGTGTTGTTATGTTTAGTATGATGTACATTTTTGTATGCTGTACCTAAAGAGAGAAGGCTAATGGTTGAACTTATGTTGAAATAAATTTTATTGTTTTGCATTTGAAATGTATAGCATGTGTAATCAATAATTTGTTCCTCATCACTATGATCATGTTCCATGCCAAACAATTTATGCAGGTGAAAATGAGAATAGATTTGCAGAGTAGCGTAAGAGATGATGGATTGTGAAACTTATGAATAAAACAAAGATCTTGTCTGTAACACATATTGATCGCACTAGGTTAAAGTTAGTCTTCAGCCAGTTACTAAATTGCACTGTGCCAAAGTCACCTAAGTGCTGAATGGTACTATCTGAGTCACCAAGTACTATCCCAAAGTCTACTAAGTGCTAAATGGTACTGTGCCAAAGTCACCTATTTGCTAAATGGTATTATCCCAAAGTCACCTAAGTGCTAAAATAATACTATGCCAAAGTCACCTAAGAGCTAAACAGTATTATCCCAAAGTCACCTATGCGCTAAATGGTACTATGCCAAAGTCACCTATGTGCTAAATGGTATTATCCCAAAGTCACCTATATGCTAAATGGTATTATCCCAAAGTCACCTAAGTGCTCAGTCAGATTTTGTCAGTTTTTGTGTAATCTATTCTCTGAGTCTCACTTCAGTTGTTGTTATTTTTCTTTTCTCTTTTTCTGTCATTGTTCAGGTCTTGCACTGATAACACAGGGATAGCAAAAAAAGATTCTGTTATAGAGTTACCTGAGTCTTTTGTATTCTATTGTTGAGTACCCCAGTGCTGTTTGTTTCTTAGTATTGTACTACCCCAATTTCCCACTGAGTTGCTTTGCTCGTCCAAAGTCACCTATGCTACTAAAATTGCCCATAGGTGATTTTGACGTAGTTTCATTTAGCATTTATGATTTTCATGTAGGGTTGATAATATGTACATGAAGCATCATTGTACAACAAATATGTGACAGACATATGGTATCTGAAGACATGAAGCCCAGTTGTTGTGAGTTTCATCATTCTGATATATTTTGACAATCAACAATAAGGACCTGTTTTTTCTTTGTTTCATTAAATATTATGTGACATTTACAAATGACATACCGCAGCTCATAAATCTACATTAGTACATATTGTGATTAACATAACTGAGTTAAACATAATTATGAGACATCCCTTAGACTTACTATAGATCATTTCTATTGATGTGTGAATTATGAAATGTCTTGGATATTTGACTGCCTGTCTTCTTTCTTTATATATTATATTTATAACTTCCCCCCTCCCCTTTTTTTTCTTCTCCACCCCTCCCCTCCCCCTCTTAATCCCTCAATTTGTTTTAACCTGATATACAGTAGTGATAACTGTCTCCTCCAACCCCCCCCCCTTTCCTCCTTTTTTTTTTCTTTTTTAAATCTGAGAGATAATAGCTATAAATAATGTATCTCCTCTTTTATCTAATATACAATAGCTATTAATATGTTATCTCTCCCTTTATCTGATAGGCAATAGCTATAAATGTGTTATCTCCCCCTTTATATGATAGATAATAGCCACGAAAATGTTGTATCTTCCTTTATCTGATAGACAGTAGCCATAAATCTCTCATCTCCACATTCACATTAGACAAAAGCCATAAATATGTTATCTTTACCTGTATCTGATAGACAGTAGACATAAATATGTTATCTCACCCTTTATCTGATAGACAATAGCCATAAATATGTTATCTTCCCACTTTTTCTGCTCTTCTTTACCTGAAAGATGATAGTCATGAATATTTTATCACTTCTCTTTAGATGATAGTCATGAATATTTTATCACCTCTCTTTACCTGAAAGATGATAGTCATGAATATTTTACTGATACCCTGTTTCCTGACAAGTTGAAGTCATGACTATTTTACTTTCAGCCATTTTCTTTGCAAATGACAATCTTTATTATCAGCCCTTTTCCTTGAGAATGATAAGTATGTATATTTTACTGTCACTCTTTTTCATAATTCCGTAAGATTCAACAGAAAAACCTGTGGAGTTTGTGACAATTAAATTTGAATACTGTATCTTGACACTTTAAAAGTATGACTGCACATTACTCATGTGAACCAGTCAACTTGTGTATTTTAGGTTTTATATTACAGTCAGTGATGATATACTAATGCACCCCAACAACACATTTCTACTCTAAAATCTGCTGCATATTTATTCCCCTTTGCATGTTGAATACTTATGGTTTTTTGTTTATCTTATTACTGATTTTCTTGGACTGAAAGATTTAATTTCTTGCTTGTTTGTTTCATTTCTGTAACATGTGCTGAGCACATTGTAATGTTCATAATAGTAATTAAATCCAAATAATATGTATGTATTTTATTATTACATTATTTTACAATTAAAGTTTACATTTACAAACTACAGTAACTAAATCCAGTTAATGTTTATGTTTGTCAGCAACGGTCCCTTTTTTTCACAATTATTTTTTTTAATTTACCATTTTAGGATTATCAGTTTAGGATTATCAGTTTAGGATTAGTACAAAGTTTGTTGTTGTTTCTACATATCGGCCAAAATGTATCTGCTCCGAATGTTCTTTTTTTAAGAAAATAATGTAGTGGTTTTCCTTGGTTTTCCACATCTATGTGTGTGACTTACAGGCTAGAAACATTATATTATTCATAGCTTTTCTTGCTGTTAATTTTTTGTCAAATAGAGTAGTGCGACGTCTGTTGCTTAGGTGTTCCGAGTCCGACTCGTAATTCCAACGTACCATGATCAAAACGTACTGCTGGCTGTGTGGATTTTTGTCATGGTTTTGGGTGTTGCAGGGTGACCCTGCCTAAAATTGGTACCAGGATGCATGTCCTGGGGAAGTAA